ATAAGTGAACACAGACGACCTAGTTACAGAAAGTGTCAACGTGGAAGCCGACAGAGGGACGCGAGCCATACAAAACGGCGCAATTTGGATTGGCAGACTACGCACGAAGAAGAAATGAGCGCCATATAGCGAGAGCCAGGAACCAGATTATTCACCCTCCCAAGATGGATAGACGAAACAATTATCTGAAACTTCAGATACCAAATAAACCTCTCCTGATGAACGCCCTTTCTTTTTCCGACTTACCGTAGAATTTTCACTACTACTGTAACCGTAAATAATTTTATCGACTGAAAGAGAACGAAAACGTTGAGCTGCTAGCTGTTTGAGGCTAGCGTGGGCAACGACAAGTTCAACCGTGTAAAAATCGCAGTTGAACGCACTCCTTCCTCCAAAGGTCATCACATAGGATGTTGACACACGCTTAAGAAAAATGTAGTTGGCGCACAAATAAGTCTCCGCCAACCTTGGACATCATGCGAAAGTGGAAAAAGAGCCAACACCACTGCAAACATCAAAAGCTCGCGTTTGACAAGCCCATTGCAAAACTTTGATCTTTGACTGACCCTAGTTCTGGATTCCTTTCCGTGGTAGGAAACTGAACATGGATATTATTTAGCGTCAATTCTTGAGAGAGCTAAGCCGTTCATAGAAGAAAAAGGTTTCATTTAAGGATACCGGTGGCGCAAGGTACTCACTTTTTGTTTCAGGCGATGGACCAGGTGATTCTTCCTTTGGCTTCGGTAAAGGCGGTAAAATTCCCTTCTCACGCAAAATAGCATTCCACTCGGTGTCCTCTGTCGGATCCTTTACACAAAAAGGTTAGATGCGAAAACAGAAAACTTACGACTTGAACCTGCATCATTATCGCGTCTCCGGTGCCTCAAATGGAAGGGATCTAAAATAAAGACATATTTGAGAGAACCATTAAAGTAAACCTGTAGAAAATACAAAATGCTTAAGTATAATGTGGAAAATATATGTATTTTATCAGCCTGTTGAACGTAGCGTAAAGTTGCTAGGATGGCGCAAAGGGGTGCCACATGCTTGAGGACAAGAAGAATAAGTATAAAGACGAAAATCGTGGTCATGTGTTTTCACTGATTAACGCTCACTTTAACACTAACATAACTCATCTGCGCCCCTCAGCCTTGGGCCTCGACAGAGTCCCTGACAGCCGCAACAGCTGGATTTAGGCAGATAGTATTGCCGATAAAGACGAGGGAGACTGGAATGGCTATTTCTGGCTCATTAGCCGTCGTCAGC